GTGTTATAGAGCAGATGATCCCTATTGTTTTTGGGGTCAGTAGGTCAAAGGTCAAGGTCACAGTGCAGTGGGGGAGACATGCGCTTTTTTACAAAAGCATCCTCTAGTTAATTTTTTATTTCGTTTTTCTCGATTTTTTAAATCATCTAAAGGGAAAGAAAAACAATTAAAAAAGTTTTGACAGGCGTTGAGAATTTATTCGTTTTTGCACTTTTAATGATGAATTATAACAGGGAAAGTAATTCGGATCGCTGGCAAATATTGGGAAGTTATTGTTGAACTTGAGTCATTAAACATGAATTAAACTGTTGAACAGTTTTAAAAGTTAATGTCATAAAAGGGGAAGTTAATGTTGAAACATTTGAAGTGGCTGTAACAATGTATTTGTGTGACTGTCATAGTACAATTATATATGTGGGGGAAAAAAATTAAGTTTATTGTAATTCGTTGGAGACAAAGTGTAAGTTTTTTAATTTTATTCATAAAAAATTTTTTATTGCTTCTATTTCTTTTCTCTGTTATTCTAGAATTTTCAATTCATTTTACATTTGTCGAGTTTATTAATAAGTTGACAATTTAATATACATGTATTTGAGTAATGGAGGTAGAGATATTTCAATTTCATTGTGGTGCTTGAGTTTGTCTGTGTTTAAATTAGGCTGTAATAGGAGGTTTCTACTCCCTTTAAAGGTATTGTCTGTGAATGTCTGTTGTTACATTTATTGGTATTTGTATATAGAAATGTTAACTTGAAAAATTGGCTAGAGGCAGGCAATAGACCACTATGGTTGAGTGTTATGGGTAACTAAGAGCAGGGTCTGAAATTCGCATTCTGACAGTGACTTACTTTAACCTTTGCCCTCTGTGAAATGGATTTTTCAGTTCTGTCTGTCTATAAGGTTTCACAGTACTTAATTGATCCAGGGTTTAGAGTCAGATCCTATGGATGGGGGCTGCTATAATGGTGGCAGACTGTAGCTTTAATGATGGTGGGACTATATGGATGGGGGTGGCTATAACAGTGGCAGACTATATGGATAGTGGTGATTATTGTGGCGTATATATAATAATGGTGACTATAATGGTGCTGCAGGCAAGTGATTATGGCTGCTTGCACATTAAAGGGTGAAAAACATTCTTTGGAAACACTTGAGTCTATCTTTATAATCTAGGATATGAGAGTGGGGAGTCTCCAGCCTCGTAAACATGTATTGAATGTCAAATATCAGCCATACCTTTTGATAACCCTTATCAGTAGTTATACCTCTCAAATTACTATAATGTAAAACTAGTCTGTTTTGTTTGTAATATCCTTAAATATAAAACCACAATATTCTTTAATATAATACCGGTCTCTGATATGTTTATAATATCCAAAATATAAAACCAGTCTATTTTGTTTGAAATATCCTAAAAGTTAAATCAGTCTATTTTGTTGGAATATCTTATATGTAAAACCAGTCTGTTTTGTTGAAATATCTGTTATGTAAAACATTTCTGTTTTGTTTGGGATATTGTTTTCCAAAATGTATAACCAGTTTTTGGGCACATGGTTAACTGCTTAAAAAAATTGCAGAGCACTCTTTATATTTCTGTTGAATTGCAGGGCATTCTTTATATTTCCATTGAATTGCAGGGCACTCTTTATATTTCCATTACAACATTGAAATCATTTGAGACTGTTGTAAGGTCATCAATGAATCAATGGGAAATAAAAAAGAAGATAAAAGATGTTGGCATTTAGATAATGATCCTTACAGGATGATTCTGCCAAAGTTGTTATTTGAAATTTTTACGTTATTTACTTTTTAAGAAGAACTTTATTGTTTATCTTTAAGTGGCAGCCTTAAGATATCAAGATAAAAAAATCTTAGGTCAGTAAATGTCATGAGTGACAACATTCCTTGGTTAAAAAAATTTTTTTTTTTAAAAAAACGGATGTGAAAAGATTGGTGACATGGAATGAGGAACACTATTGGAACGTGTACATGTGCACTGACATTTAAAGTGAAATACAATGCTATACTAAGGATTTTGTAAGACATATTAAGAAATGTTGGTAAAAAAAAAAAAAAAAAGGCGGTCTTACTGAAAACGTTTTTGTATCTCTATAAAGCAGAATGGGGGGGGGGGGGGGGAGGGGAGAAATAAAACAGGCTTATCATCATTTGCTCATTATTAACCCTTAATCTGTTGGAACCAAAAGTGATTAGCCTTTGCCAACAGCATAGAGCCAAGCCAGTCTGCACATCCGTGCAGTCAGGGTCTACACTGTTGGTAGCTCAATTTTTTTGTAGTTTAATATTGAAATCCCTTGAACTTTGAATGGACTGTTTCAATTTCAAAGCTGGACAGATCCATTATAGAAATATAGCGGGTTATGGGTTAGGACGTGCATGAAAATCAGTTGAGATCAGAGGGACATAGAGACATTGTATTTGTCTTTTGTTTGTATGAAATTTTGTATTTGCACTTAGGCTAATGCAGATAACATTTTATGAAAATCTTTAAAGCGTGCCTATCAAATTATTGAAGAGGGGGTTAACATTGTGTACAAGTGGAAAGTTTATTGAATAAATAAGCGACCTTTGATTTGCTTTATGATACGAGGGTACGGGTTTTGTTTGAACTTTTTGTTTGCCTTCCTGACAAAATGTATTTGTTTAGGAGTAAGAAAACTATTCTCAATGAGTTAATATCCCCTGTATATATATCTACATAGTGTTACTGTTTCATTTTCCTTTTTCTCAACATTTAGAACAGGTTAATATAGATATTTTCATGTTCGTCTAAAATGTAAAAATGTTCGTCTTAAATGTTGAAATGTTTGTCTAAAATGTTGAAACTGCAGAAGGCCTAGACTTGAGTTTTTTAATGAATATTTTAAACGTTTGTTTTATCAGATTTTGGAGATATATTGTAAGTAAGTTCTCAAATCTTTTTGGTTAGGAATTTCAATATCAAAATGATAAAATTATGCAGGAAACAATATAGAGTTAGCTTATGGATGTACAGGATGGTGAGGCTTTGAATGGGTGACTTACTGATAATGTCGCTGGTAGTTTTCACTTCAGATCATGGCAGAAAGCCACATTAAATTTACCAGAGCTCAGTTCAGGCACGGCAATCATTTCTGGACAGGCTTTCAAGAAGTTTACCAGTACTAGTTGCTTTCACTTTCACAAGGAACTTTTTAATAGCTATTCATTCAGTATATAATTATTATACAATTTTCCTTCAAAAATTGATGAATGGTTTAGTCCAGATTGAAAAAATGGACAAATTAATTTAAGATATTTAGCATGGAAATGGTAATTTAAATGGATAAAAAGTCATGCAATTGATTGATTTATTAGTGAATGTTAAAATAAACATGACATTATTGTTTGGAATTGTTGTATACACATATCTACATGACTATTAATCATGGTAAAGTACCACTTGAGAATAATAAGTGGCTGGATTTGACAAGTTATATAAGTTATATATAGCAAGATTGATTACATTAAGTGGGTTTATTCCAGTATATCATGTTTAATTCATATGTGCAGCAGACGATAGTTTTGACATGTAAATGCAGATCAGTGTATGTTAGAAAGTGGGTTGGGTAATAGGGGGATAGTGCATTATGGGTGTTAGAAGGCAAATGGGTGGGTAAAAAGGGAGGTAACTGATATGGATGTATGGGGAAAGTAGGTGGGGATAATAAGGAGTTAAGGCAATATAGGTGTATGTACGGACATTAGAAATAAGGCTGTAAGCTGGAATAATGTTGTGGTTACAGAGACAAAATAAAGGTGAAACCTTACACAAATATGAATTTAAAAGTTATGAGGTTAGAGTATAGTTGAAAGCGCTATTAAAAACTTATATTGAAAGCACTCAATTTTAATCTGAAACAGTGAATATAAGATTAAAGCATTCAATATTTTTTAATTAACAAAAATTAAATTGAAAGCTATATTTGAAAGCATTAAACTTTTATTAAGGCACAAGATAGGAAAATTTATCTTACTACATATAAATTTGCAACACTTAATTGTTAAAATTATTGCAATTAAGTGTTAACCATTTTGACAGAAATGTTACCTAAAACAGAGCTATTTTAAGAAATTTGGATATGCTAAAGAACAAGTTGATTTTCTATAGAATGAAAGTTCAAAAAAAAATTTCTTGGTATGGAAAAAATCAATATGACTTGGTGATAGATCAAAGTCCTTTGGGGGAAACAAGGAAATAAATGCATCTGAAACAGAGATAAATATTTGTTTAATTAAAGGTTCTCTTCATATAAAAACATTGTCAAATAAAGATTGCGGCAAGATAGCTTCAGATATGGATCCGCAATCAATAGCAAACTGCAAGATAAAGTTTGTTGCAAATATAAAAGATGGTTTTTCTGATAAATATTGATCTATAAGTATCGGTTCCAGTCAGGGGGGGAAAAAGGTTTTATGTAAAAAATTTATGAAGCAGAGAAATATCATGTTTCCTTTGATTTCTGTGAAAACTTTGGCATAATGTTTGAAATATTGAGAGTAGTTCTTGGCTGTGAGATTTTTTTTAGAGTTTGCACTAGTGTCTGTTTTGTGAATTGTGAAACAGCATGTACAGTAAACTCCGCTTATAAGGATATTCAGGGGACCACCAAATTTCTTTCGTTATATCAGGATATTGTTGTATCTGAGAGGCAACCAATTTGGAAAACAAGGGACCGTGGCATCAGTATATTGTTATAAACAAAATCAGTAAATATATATCAGATGAATTTCTTTAATTGTCTAACTTCCTTTTTGAAATTTGCGCATTACCATCCTTTCTGATAAGGAAATTTAATGTTACTCAGCAAAACAGTATAGAGCTTGGTCAGACTGCATGGATGTACTAACTTACATGGCACAATACTGATGACATTTAAGGCTAATTTCTTTTCTTTCCAGGAGGCTTAGATGAAAATATACTTTAAGTTTATTAATATGTTCTATTTGATCTACTTTCAGATATGAAGAGATTGTTTCTGCCAATGGTGTGTTCAAGAAGTCTGTGGACCGAGGGGACGATGCCATATCCAAAGTCTCGATCATTTACCTTGCTACCAGGCTGAACACGCTGAATGACTCAGCAAATACTCTTCTTCAGGGAGATAACAATACAGCTTACAGCATTGACAATTCTAATGCCACTTATGTCATAGATGAAATTGCTGATGAGAAGGAAGACCTTAAGTATAGACGGGATGCAAGAAGGAAGCTGTTGGAAGTTTTGGAGAGACTGCCAGTTAGAGATGAGGTAAAAAATACATATATATTATCTTGTTTTGGGCTGTGAAAAATTGTAACCCTGTCTGAACCCTATTTGATGTGTTCATATCTTTGAAAGACCACTAGTCCACTATCCTTGGTCAATAATTTCAGTGTCATATGCAGACTTCTACCATTGGCCATTTAGGTCAATGTCATATAGAGACCTTTGCCATTGATGAATTAGGTCAAGGTCACACTCTATGGACTTCCATCATTGGCCAATATGGTCAACCTGTTGTCTATGAACCTCTACCCTTGGTCATTTAGGTCAAGGACACACTGTGGATTCTACCATTGGCTGATATGGTCAAGATCTATTCTTGGTCAATTAGGTCAAGGTTTCTTAGGCAAAAAAGGCAAAAAAAAGAAGTTTCCTATATTTTCTAAAATAGCCATGTTACGGCACTGCGTTGCATGCCCACTTGTTGGTGTTGGCGATGTTCTTGTTGCGTCATGTGATTGTTGTGGTTAACCATTGTGTAAAATGGCCAGAGTTTAGATATTGATACAATGTATCTTGATTGTTTACTATACATTTGTTTAAAGGAAGGTCTGATTATATAGTCATAGCTGGGGGAAAAGAATTGATTTCACGATGATTGTTCTTGATTTGAATGGGGGAAAAAAAAGGTTTAAAATTTTAATATATTTTAGTACTTTACTGAAGATGTTGAAAAGTAATGGCAAAAATTTGAAAAATAAACTTGTAAGTTGTATTATTGTGGTAGAATACTTGATAGATATTGTATGATATTAACTTAAGTATGATAACATCTTAGCAATTTTGTTGAATATAGTGAAATTTAATGTAAAACATCATGAAAATAGTTTGCATTGATTTCTAAAATAACTGAACGAAATGATGACATAAATAAGCATTAAACATTAAGTATTCAATTATAGAATTATATCTTTTTCAAATTGAAGACACTCCTTTAAAGGTTAGTTGTATAAATTCAGTATACAATGTAATTTCATTGTATGATCTTTTGATTAAGTTTTAAGTGCATTTAAGTTTTATAATCTTTAATGCAACAATGATAGCATTTGAATATCATGCTGTGTGAGCATGCTACAAAACAACAAGGAAATTATATAAGATGATAATAGTGATGATGTGAAATATACTTGTATATGACCAGGATATAACATAATCTGTGATAAAAAATGTAATGATACATGTGATAATATATGATAATGTGTATAATGCAGACAATTACAACTTTCTTCTAAATGATAAACACTGTTGTCGGCAACTGAATCTACATGGCGACCAGTGCCAACTTATTCCTGCTATTTTTCAAGTGTAATATTTTTTTATTTGAATAATGATAAATAAAAAAATCGTATGAGAGTCTCCACACCAACAGGGACAGTTTGGACGATGAAGGATGGGTTGAGAGGATGGGGGGGGTGGGGTGGGTGGCTATGTGAGAGACATGTCTTAATACTATTTCTCATGAACAGAGTTAAATCAAACTTATTCACCTTTTCATTTCACTTCTCTCCAGGTATCTCGCTGTATCCAGAATTTTTGTTTGTGTATTATATGGAGATTTTGTTGGAGTAAGATACAAAATAAGATGGGTGGGGGTGCAATGAATATTATAATGTTAAATTGGAAAATAATTCAAGGGAGACAAGTCATGTGATAAGAAGAAAAAAAGTGCAAGTTAAGTGAAACAAGTTGAATAAACTGTTATATACAAGTGGGAGGACAGGCAAATGACGTTTTTGTTTGTAATTACTTGGGGGAGTTTGGAGTAACTTTATAATAATGGATTACTAGCAAGTGTGTAAAAGAAAACTGTTGCCTCAAGTAGGAGCCGGGAGGTCTTAGTTTTAATCAAGTCAGTTTGATGAATCTCTTCTCTTTTTATCCCCGTTTAAAACAAAAAGAATAAAAGGTTTATAACATTAATTTTCTATAAAAATTATATAATGGAGGCTAAAAGTGTTAATATACATTTCGTCAACATAGTGCAATAACTGGTTAACTCTTTTTAAATTTTGAAGGACTTAACACATTGTTGCACTAAGGTGATGATTTGTAAAACTTATGTCTTATAATCTATAAGAATATTTGGTTGTTGTAATGAGGTGATTGCTGTAAAGAGGGCCAATGCTATAATAATATTATGCTGCATACTTATGTATAAAATAATTTGACAATCGGTTGATTTTTTCATATTTTGTCAATTATGTAGAAAATTGAGCCACTTTTGGCAAGGGAGGTAAATATTGTAAAAAAAACTAAATTGAATTTGATTGTAAATAAAGTATGATTTATGGCATGTATACGACGAAAAGCCAAATGAGTTATGCATGTCACAATGAAAAACCGGCTGAAAACAACGCAGCAGTGCATATATATATAGATTTACATGAAGTCAACGCAATAAGGTCGCTTAATGTAAAATGTCTTTGTTCTCCTATTAAAGGGGGAAAAAAACCTATTGTCATGCTTTAGCACAACATGTAGTCAGTTACTTTTATCATAATATTTCATTTCCTGAACATAAAGTTTTATGGGAAATTTATTATGTAGTTGAACTATAAACAGATAGGAATGATGCGGTTTACAGCTTTATCAGTACACTGTACACAAAGACACGGAATTACATTATGATAAAACCTTTAACATTGTCATTTTTGAAGACGTTTCGTTTTTTTTCCTTTCCACCATGCTGAATTCATGTAAAGCGACTGTAAAGTTTGGAAAGGTATTTTCTGAATTTAAGACAAGGCAGGCTCAATATTGGTATAAAGAGGGGGCAGGGCATCCATGGCCAAGTGGTTATGGTCATTTGACTTTAAATCACTTCTCCTCACTGACGTGAGTTCAAATCCCTACAGGCACTTTAGATTCTTTGCATGTGAGGAAGTTGGCATAAAGCATGTCATTCTTGCAAGTTTTTAGATAAGTGATTATAACTTTATAAGTAATGTACACAAAATCATGCAATTATGAAAATAATGAAACTTTTTACCTTAAAACCCTGCTGAATTTGCGTTATCATTTAATGGACTTTTTCTGCTTTAATTTTGGAACTGAACATCCATTACAGGTATATTTAAGGGCATAAATTCAATGTGCGAGCTGTAGGATCAACCTGGCATATAGAGCCTGATGTGTTCAGACTGCTTGGATGTTTATTTCTGGTTGTGTGCGGTTGCCCAATTATTACAATGGTACTTAAAGAGTAAATCGTTATTTTATGATCTGCACTGTTTGCCATTCAGTAAATACAATCATGAAATTTTCCGCTGAAAATTATGAATGGTTTTGACAAAACCATTCATAATTTTCAGGGGATGATTCCAGATTGAAAAATGGACCAGTCCATGTAAAATATTTAGTGGAAACGGGTTAACGAGTGCGAGTTTAACGACCAAAACCAGCAGCGCAGCGAGAACAGGGCAAGCCTATTCTCCCCAAAAAAAGTAATTTCATAAAAAGTTTAGCCGGATAAAAATCTTAAATGCAGTAATTGTGTTATTATCCAACATTGTAACGTGATATAAATGAAAATAATAAAATGAAAGTTACGTAAGTTCATTTAATATTTTCTTCCCATAATTAAAAGTTTTATGGCCGCAATTATCAGTTGATGTACCGAGATAGAATGTAAATATTTAAGAAACTGTTACTTAATAACCACAAAAACCACAAAGCGTTTCGTGACGTAGATTTACAGAAATCATTTTCAGTATTTTCACATGCTTTATTATAGACTGAATTTTAATGTTTTTAAATTGTGTATGCAAGACCTTTGATTTATCTTAATGTACAAGATGCACCAAATTTTCTAAAATTAATATAATATAACAATAATTTTTCTTATGATAATTTGCTACATATAATTATGTGTCCCTAAAATGAGGCTCAGAAATCTCACATGCTTGTAAAACAATAACAAACAAGAAAATGAGTTGTCATGAAGATTTTCTTTCATGTGACATTTAGGAAAATGTTTGCCATGAGTTAAGAATATCATTACTACAGTACTACATTACATTGATAGGGATACCATTTTTAGTGCTTTGAAATTTTACAATGGTAGTTATACCATTTCAAGTGCTTTGAAATGTTACTATTGAAGGAATACCATTTTAGGTGGTTTGAAATTTTACGATTTTAGGAATACTATTTCAAGTGCTTTAAAATTTTACAATTGAAGGAATACCATTTTAGGTGGTTTGAAATGTTACGATTTTAGGAATACTATTTCAAGTGCTTTGAAATTTTACAATTGATGGAATACCATTTTAGGTGGTTTGAAATGTTACAATGATGGAATACCATTTTAAGTGCTTTGAAATTTTACAATTTTGGAAATGCCATTTTAAGTGGTGTTAAATTTTATGATTTTATGACTGTGCTTTGAAATTTTATGATTAAAGGATCAGTCAGTCAAACTGTGAAAAACTTTTAAGAATTTGCTGTAGTGAAAGCAATAAAATTCCACGAGGAAGAGTCTTAATGTAGAAGATTGAATTTCTTATGAGAGATGATCAACAAATTTCCATGAGGAAGATAATGATATTAATTTCCATATTAAGGAAGTATTGAATTCCTAATAGAAGAATAAAATATGAATTTTCATGTGGAAATAAAGAATATAGAGATGAATTTCCATATATTAATCTTTTTGATGGAGAGAAAAGAGTTTTCCATGAGGATGATTGAAGTATGAATCTGCTTGACGCATATAGGCAGCAAGTTAACATAAGTTTATCTAGTGATATAAAGATTGAGAAATAGATGGAAGCATAGATTTGGGAAGACCGAGAGTTATCTTTTCTTGTTTACATTAAGAATATTCTTTAGGCATTTCTGTGGGGTGTTTTTAGGAACTTCACTTTACAGTATGAGTCTGCTTGGGGCATAAAGGCAGCAATATTATATAATATAAGTCTATTTAGTGGTTTAAAGATTGAGAAGTAGAACTGATGGAAGCAAAGCTTTGGAGAGGCAAAGAGTTA